AATACGCCCTCTTCACCCCGAGAGTGTGAAACCTATAAAAAATCTTCAGACGCACTTAACAAATGAATATTCACAGATGTATAGACGCAGCTCAAAATGATAGTTACAGAAGTTGTTGCTCCATATTATATATTTTTTTAAAAAAAGGATAAAAATAACTAGTTTGAGACAAAACGAAAGCAAAATAAACACAATAATTACCCTAATAATATTGGAGGAAAGAAGAGAGCCTAAAATCGAAACTACCAGCCAGTTAACAGCAAGATAACTAAGCATAAGGAGCAAGTCCGAGTCCCCGAAACCCGTTGTAACACAGAGTACCCAATCCTTACGGAAGTCAAAGAGATCCGAAATTCATGTCTCGATTAAACAGGAATCGCTGCCACATAATCATCACCCAAGAGCTCTAATCCACCATAAATTTCACGTATAATTATCCAATTAATCAACTACAGATGTCCAGATACACATATCTAAAGGCATATTATCCTCACCTCGAAGAAGGAGAACCGTCCGTATAGAATACAATAAAAAAAAGGCAAATTGGAACAGATTTGATCGGTGCAAATGGATTCTCCGATCGGAATCCGGCGAGAGATAGGTGTAATAATTATAATTGTAATAGAAAGAAGGTAGAGAGAGAAAGTAGAGTGAGAAGAAAGGGGCGAGTGGGGTGCGGGGTTATCCTGCGGCTCTACCCCGTGCCCGTGGTGGAGGAGGCGATGAGGGGATTCGAGTCGTCGAGAGAGAGATAGCTATGGGGGTTACTGTGTCTGTTAACGAGGTTTTATATTTCCGTCAGTCTCCGTTGAAAATGATGTGGTAGTCGCCAGCAGGCAATTGAAACGGCGTTAGTGAAACGTGGCGCGAGCACGATGGTTTATCCTGTAATGTTCAAACCTTGCCTTCACGGTCTCGTCCTTGAATGCTATGGTCACGCTCTAAATTATTATGGAAAAAATATACTCCTTCGTCCCTAAATATTTGTCACATTTGTATTCTCGAGGTACATTATTAAGTTTTTTCAATTGATTTTATTAACATATTGGTATAGAAATAAAAAATAAAATTTACATATAAAAACACTACATGAAAAGTTCTTCGAAATAAGAGGTGTCAAGAATATTTTATTTTATCAAATAACTAATGAAAACGTAGAAATAAACAAAAGTTCCCGCGACTGCTGAAAAAGCAATTGTTGCAAATAATTTGGGACGGAGGAAGTATATAATTATGCAGCATTTTGACAATAAATTTTTGAAAAAATATATTTAATTATAATGTAAATTTAGTACAATTATGTTTATTTTAAAATATAGCTTTAAAATATTAAATTTTTTTAATATTTAAAGTATAAATCAAAAACTTCAAGCTATGTCAATCTTTTTCCAAGGGAAGAAGTAATAAAGTACGAGGAGCATCAAAATGGTTACTCAATGCTCCATACTCCATTTGGGTTGAAGTCGGTCAAAAAAGTCAAACAAAAAACTAGCAACAAACTACTTCGATTGGTTAATTTTCAAGTATCGTTCTCTCTAGAAATGGACGGGGTGTTAAACTAATCTCTCCTACGAAGTAGGCTATATAGGACGGGTCACCAAAAGCTTTGTCGATCATTTTTGAAGTTGATCGTGCAATCGTGATCAAAGAACTCAATATGAAAATCTATTGGCCTGGGTGCAATAGATATTCAACTCTGTGTGTGGTGTATATATATGGGTGGACACATGCCCATTTCGGTTCCGGAACCGCTCCCTCACTCGCATTGTAACCGTAGCCGACAAAGCCGGTTTCCTAGCCGGTTCCGCAATCGGCGGTTCCAGTTCACAGTTCCTTTTTTTAAAATCTAACATATGAATTATATAATATTATATGCACTCTGAAATAAATTTATAGAGTAACTTTTTTTTATAAATTCTGAGAATGTAGTTGTTATTTAGATAATGAAAGTTGAATACAACAATGCAACTACATTTAATATCCCAACGATTCAAAAAAAGCGACGAAGTAAAAATCCCGTAAAGAAACTTCGAAGAAGCTTATAAATTGTTCACCTATAGAGCTGTTGTGGCTTTTCTTCCGACGCTTACCAAAAACAGAGAAAAAAAATTCCTGAAACCAGAACAGAACCTGAACCTGCGATTCTGGGACCGCCCATTTAAGACCCGGAACCGGACACGTGTCCACCGATTCCGGGTCCGGTTCCCATACCCACCATTTCGTCTCTGGCACGTTTCCGGGAATCGACGGTGCCAGCACCAGCTCCCGCCGGAACCGTGTCCACCCCTAGTGGTGTAGCTTAGAAACAAATTTGATATCTTCAGATACAACAGCTTTATAGGTGAACAATTTGTAAGATTCTTCGAAGTTTCTTTACGGGATTTTTACCTCGTCGTTTTTTTTGAATCGTTGAGATAGTAAATGTAGTTTCATTGTTGTGTTCAACTTTCATTAGAGTTTTGATATCTCCTGAATTTGGGAGATATCAGTATGAAAATTTAATATTTTTTCAACCGTTGACCGTCCCCCACTGGCCACCACTGTAACGCCCCAAAACATACCCTAGAATTATTAATAAATCATTATTCGATTAATCAAATTAATTACTTTGATTAAAATAAATTCTTGTTGGGCTTTTGGGCCAAAGTAAAAGATGTTCTCATATCCAATATCACAATCTGGATAAATCTCATAGAGATAAATCCAATATGTTCACTATTTGTGTAACCTTGATTGGACCTGAGTACAGACCCAAAATCAAGAATAAATGAATAATGTGTTTATGATGTAAACTTTGAAATGGTTTATTAAAATAAATCATGAGAATAAATAATATGAATTAAATGTGAGAACCCTTTTTGTGAGTAAAGGTCAAACAAACCAATTTCGACTCTGTCAAAGTCAAACATCCAAAAATAGGATGCCAGAAAAAGTATTATAAATAAATATAAAAATTATATCGTTGGATAGAGTTCGACTGTCTGATCGCAATGGTGCAAACGGAATTCAATTCGGAGAAAGTTGGACTAAAAAGTGTACCTCGACTGGGACCAAATATTAGTCCCAATCAGGGACTACGTACCAAACGGCGCCCTGTTCAATTACGCCGATTCCAAAATCAGAATCACCGTGCAATCAAGGAAGCTGCAAACATCTGTCTTCTTCCTTCCTCAATTGGTTATTTAAGGAGAGCCAACTCCTTCAATTCTTCACCAAAACAACTCATTCTTCCTTCTATCTTGTACCTTGCTGAGAGTAGAGTGCAGTGGTGTTGTTATCTTTGTGTGAGGTCGTCGGAGCACTAAGATATAGTCGCCGGAAGTTTCGCTGGAAAATCGTCGAAACCTCCATTAAGTTTCGAGGTAAGCCCGTAGATATATCTAATGACTAGAATGTTCATATAGGTCGTTTCTACATTCATAAATCGTCATTTGGTTGAGTTTTGTGTTTGACATGTTTGAAAAACTAAAAATCATAAACCTTGAATTTGATGTTAAAAACATGATTTAATGATTCTAAAATGATCTATGAACCTTGGAGAACATCTCTATATAGTTCAATTGAAGTTCGGTGACTAAAAACGGGTTTTCCGAAAAATGGACCGAGGTTGAAGATGAATGAACAGTAGCTGAAAAACTACTATCTGGATCGATCACATGCTCTGGATCGATCCTCGGGGAGTTTTTCTTCTAGTTCGATCGATCTAGAGGGCTGGACCAATCCTCGGAAATTTCTGATCCGAAAATTTGTCTGAAAATGCTATTTTTGGGCTCTAAAATCCTATTTTGATACCAATTGATTATGATCATTATAAAAATGATTTTTTCATAATAAAATGATGTTTTTAACAAATTAAAACATTATGTGATGCATGACGGTAAGTTCGGGTGTTAACACTCGAGACTGGGCCACTAATTATTATTAAACGTTATGTTGAATGATCATTATGGTGAATAATTATTATGGATAATTATGAATGATAAACTTACTGATTAGAATGATTATTGATGATTAAATCATTATTAAAAATGAATATAATGGTGATCATGAGAACGGTGTATATTGTTAAGGATATCTAGAAGAACTCTAAGATATACCCACTTGTATAATGATGATGATTATTAAGGATATCTAGAAGAACTCTAAGATATACCTCCTTGACCAATTCATAACTCGGGGTTAAAACGTACGTACGGGATCCAGAACGGATATCACCCACCCGACAGATCACTGTTCGGTTGGTACGTAATCCACATGACCCATAGGGTGATTATCGATTCTTGTGTTCTGCATTAAACTATTTATAGTTTAAGGGGCCTAGTTAGAAATATTGCCTTAGACTAGGAATAACTAAGAGCTGATTGTAAAATGATGTGGCCTTAGATTAAGAATAATTTAAGAGCGTTGTTGAGATATTGAATATCAAATGACTTGGAACACTCCCTCCGTCCTGAAATGTTATTCCCACTTACTATTCACACGGTCAAACTTTAATCACTTTCTTTACCTATTTTCATTAGGTATTTGATAAAACAATATAGTCTTATCACCACTTGTTTTGTAGAACTTTTGATGTAGTTTTTAAATATATAAATTTTATTTTTTAATTTTACACCTACAATCAAATAAATTGAATTAAAAATAAAGTCAGTCAAACTTCGTAAACAGAACCGGGAAGAACATTATAGGACGGAGGTAGTAAAATATTGAAAATATCATGAACGTTTGAATCATATATTGTGTTCATGATATAAAATGATTGATTATGCATTGAGATTCAATTTATGTGGATGTTCGACGCTTTAGATATGCTTACTCAGCTTTACCGCTGAGCGTGTAGTGTGTTTTATTTGCTACACGCAAGTAGACAGAATGAATGATAGGAATATTCCTGGGAGCAGAATGGGGGAGATAGTCGTGGTGGTTTTATTGACAAAATAAATAATTATGTTTGCTATGAGACATGTTTAAAAGTCGCTTCCGCATATTATTAAACACTCTCCATTCCCTAGAGTTATGTATGAAATTTTATTTATGATGAATAAAGTTATTTGAAATGTTTTAAATTATCACGATTACCAAATCAGATCATCAATACTTTAGTCCGAAAGGGGCTGCAGATCTGGACGGATTAGGGTACGGTGTTACAACCACTGTCATTGCCAACTACCTCCATTGTCGGCCACCCATGCCCATCACTAATTAAACCATGATTTCAAAATTTTCCAAACGACATCATTTTAGATTTCAGAATCCATTTATTTAAAACCAAATCATATCAAATCTTAAAAATTTCACCAAGCAAACCCTAATTAATATTGTGAGTTTAGAATATACTCTCTCCTTCTCATAAACTTTCTCCTTTCTTTTTTTAATTTTTCTCACAAAGTCTTTAATCTTTCTATTAAAAAGCCAATTTTACATCTACTGATTTTTACCTTATCTATCACAACATACTTTTTTTTACTAATAATTACCCATTATACTCTACTTTTAGTTATCACATCAAGAATATTTTTATAAAATCAACATGAAAATATCACTTCCTTAAATTTTCTAAAAGTTAAAAGTTAAAATATGAAGAACTTTAGAGACGGAGTAAATTTAGCAAGAACCCTAGATCTAGATCCTAACTACCTAACCCATACTACACTACTATACACAAACAAGGTAATAGGACTAACATCAATATATCACATTGCATGAGTAAATATAAGCAGCTGGGTGACGACAGCAAATAACAAATGCTGAAGTT